AGTCCTGGGGCGCCTTCCGCCGGCGGCGAGACCCTCAGTCCTCCCGGCAAATAGCCGGCGCCCCCGGACTCGGACTCGAGCGCAGGTCCCCGTGAACGCCCCGGGAGAGAGGGTGCCAGGCGAGTTGGGTCGCTATTTAAAGGACCGCCGGCCGGCGGCTCCCAGCGCCTCTTTCGGGCTCTTCCACTCGGAAGGGAAGGAGCGAGGAGCAGGCCAAACGCCGCCCGCCGAGGCCGCGAGCTGCTCACGGCACCCGCGGCTCAGCCAAGCCGTTGTTTTAAACGAGCAATAAAAATGAATTATGACTAAACGCCTTCTAACTTAATGCTTTCGGACGGGGATCCCCGGCAAATACGTAAGAGGATTTTTATTTGTGCATGTGTTCCTGCAATTGATCTCTTTGATGACATTCTCATTCATAGAAAGCGTTTGATTTATGAGCGTAGGACGAATCGCAACCAGCGCAGAGGCTCAGCCCTGGCCCTGCCGGGCAGCCCCGCGCCGCGCCGCGCGGACGGCAGGAAACGCGCCCCGGTGCTCGCCAGCCTCCGCCGCCACCGGGATTAAGGAGGCCACAGGGTGGGGGGAGGTAGGGAGCAAACCCCTGGAGAAAGATCCCGATTTCATCATAACTTACAAGCCTGCGCTCTTAGGAGCCGGGCTCTCAAACCAACCCGCCCCCACACATGTTGCTCTGCGTTTTCTCACGGTGAGGAGCCGCCTGCACCGAGCTTGGGAAGAGAAGCACAGACGTGGGGAGACAGGAGCCGGGGGGCAACAGAACCACCCGGGAACGTACCCCCGTTCACATTGTATTGATATTTCATTGAAAGTGCTTGTACGCTTTCTCTCTCTAGACTACTTAATGGATAACCTAGGGTGCAGAAACACTGGGTTTTCCATCTCAACTGGCTAACCTGACTTCAAAGCTTTAATGCCCCATTATTTGCCATATAAACAGATTTAAGAATGAAATATTGATTTTTCTGGCCCTGAAAAAATAATAAAAAGAATCCTCGAATGACTGAGCCGGAGGGCTAGAAAGAAGCCTCTCTGAAGTGTATTCTCCAGCCAGTGACCATCATTTTTTTTATGTTGTTGTTTTTTTCTCCCCCCTCTGTCTTTTAGGACTGTTTGCTGGACCCATCCACAGCTGGGAGATTAATCAGCCATACTGAAAATGTTCGACATGGGTGGGGGAGGGGGGAATGTAGCTGTTTGAAACAAATGTGTATAAATAAATGAATTGTTGACCTGGAGATTGGTAGCTTGTTCAAGAAAGTCCATGTCCCTGAGTTGGGGGTTTCTGTAGGCACTTTATTGCTCCACTTTCTAAAGCCTGGGCTGGGCCCAACTCTGAGGCTTCCTCATCCTGTTTCTATGACCAAGTTACATCTATGGCTTGAACCTCTACAATGAAAAAACAAATCCATTCCCCTGAAAGAAAGAAAGAAAGAAAGAAAGAAAGAAAGAAAGAAAGAAAGAAAGACTTCTCAGATGCCCTAACCATTTTCTGGATTTCTTTTCTGATGCCGTCTATTGAAAATTTTGAACATGCCCCCTTAATAAATATATTAAAATTGAAAAAGAAGATGAATTGTGACCAGAATTTTATTTACCAAGTTAGACTAAAAGGAGAAAAAGAAACCATTAGGAGCTTTGAGAAAGGAGGGGGAGAAAAAAATAAGAAAGCTGCTTATAGCAAAGGAGAATTTATTCTACCAAAAATACGCATGACAATGCATCCTAATGTAATACAAAAATAAAAAGAAAGTGAAGATACAGTTGTATGGTCACTTTCTTGCAGGCCTCATATATTGCTTTCAGTAAATCACGGGGGGTTGTTGGATTAGATTTAAAACAACTAAAACTCCAAAGTAACTTGTAAAAGATGCCTCTGAGACTGGGTCGGGGGACTCACTAAACAGAAAATCTCCAACATTTAGAGGAGAAAGAGGGTAAAAAAATAAAATAAAAATCAACTCTCAGAATAAAAGAAGGCCAAACCACCTGGTCAAAGGGGTTTTTGTTTTGTGATGCTTTGTTTTGCTTTAATGTTTTTAGTAATTCAGATGCTGCAAGTCAATTGTGGTGAGTGTGTCTGTGAAAAAGTCAAAGCTGTCAGCTGAAATATCTACAGGGCTGTCGAGGGAACCCGGCAAGCTGGGCGAGACTGCATCTGAAAGCTGCAGGCAGGAATCTGTGGAGAAAACGCTGAAGTCCTGCAAAGAGGGGACCTCGAGGGCCTCGGGACTGTCATTGTTTAGGCCCGAGCCACAGTTCTGGCCCATTGTTGACAAGCAGTTGGGAACAGTGGGTGACTGGTGCTGAAAATGTTTCAGATTTTTCTCATTGCTGGTTAAAGGCGAAACGGGGAAACTCGGGGAGTCGCCATTGTGTCCGTTGGGAGCCTGCTGCTGGGAGAGGGCGTTCTGCTGGAAAGTGTAGCCTTCCCTCTCCAGAAGGGCCCCCGAGACGCCCAGGGCTTGCTCGAAGAGCGACTTCCCCTCCTCGTCCTCCTCCGCCTTCTCCGAGTCCTCCAGGCTTTTGAATTTCCCCTCGCCGTGCTGGTTCTCCTTGCACTGGGTCTGCCTCTTGTGCTTCATCCTGCGGTTCTGAAACCACACTTTGACTTGTCTCTCGGTCAGATCCAGCAGCGCCGCGATTTCCACCCTGCGGGGTCTGCAGAGGTACTTGTTGAAGTGAAATTCCTTCTCCAGCTCCAAAAGCTGCGTGTTGGTGTACGCCGTCCTCAGGCGCCGGGAGCCTCCTCCGCTGCCATCGGCCACGTCCAGGGACTCTGCGGAAAGGGAAACCAACGAGAGACACGCGCGCAGTTGGAGGCGGAGGGGTCCGAGTGGGGTTAGTCCACTGGAGAATAAATATAGCAGAAAAGATCAACGGCAACAAAATGGCCGCCCCTGGATGCAGCAGAGCTATTGTGCTGCCTTTCCTGGGAGCCCAGCCCGGGGACACCCCATCTCTCCCACCTCCGCCCGATTCCTGCCTGCAGCTCCCCCCAACCTCTCCATCCGGGAGCAAACTTTATATTAGCCACACCACAATTTATAATTAATGCATCAGCTGCTTAGCTGAGCAAGAGCGATCTATCACTCTTCATTACTGTCAAAAAGCCAAACTCTAGGACAACTAGACAAGAGGAGGTCAGTTCCAACTCAAATAAATCATCCCACATTTACACGAGTTAGGGAAAGTTCCTCCCCCCTTCTTAAAAATATATGTGTCTCCTTGCGGAGCGCAGGGTGCCTCTTCTCTCCACCAAACCCACTCCTGAGCCCACAGCGGAAGGGAAGGCAGCCAAGCATCTCCTTCTCTCCCAGCCCACGTTCCCCTCCCCCCAGACCCGCTCCCCGGGCAGCCCCGGCGGGGAGCGGGGTCCCGGGACTGGGGGCCAGGTCTGTGCACTGACCTTTGGCCGAGGC